GCTAATCCACCGATTATTCTCTGTGAGCTGTTGCACGAAAGCAGCTTATTGACCTCAGCGTAAGTGTATATTGATTTTTAGGATACAGATGCAGAAGCCAATTATCCTTCTTCCACTAGAAACCTTGTAGTAACGACAGTGTTTGTTTGATGATGTCAGTGTCCTCCGTGTAGTTATCGTGCAATACCATTTGAATTGATGTATTTCGGTACTATTTGGCGCTAATATTTGATTTTAACTGGTTCAAAGTATAGCTGTGAGAGTTTCTCTAGATAAGTAATTTAGTCACGGTTGTTCGAGTAACCTCGTATATTTTCGTCAAAATTTGAGTGGAATCAGGTTTGCTCTCATAGTGAGTCTAGAGACGTTTCCTGTTCCTTGTCGTTCTCAGTCACATGGGTTCCGTATCTGGTATGCGGTACGAAAAAATAATAAAACACTTGAACCAGCAATATGCGATAAAATAGAGGTGAGGCAAAACACGAATATCTGACAATCACGCATTTTTAGATAAAAGCAATGTTTTACCGCATACCAGAAGTGACCACATTCAAGATGGCTGCGCTTTTGTGGAAAACGTGCGAAGAAGAGGAGGATAGGAGAGGGGACACCAGAACGTCGAGCTCTAACTGGAATGATTCGTGGGCAGAGGCAAAGCTATAGCTGCCTTTGTCTCCACTGCACTCGTCAAACGCTTTCAAACGCGCGGAACACCGGCGTCCGGCATTTGGAGGTAAGGTTGGTTCCGACACCTGCGTTGGACTGGGTTTGACTTCTTTGTGACTGCCTGCGTCGAGCTATCGCTATGGCGACCCTGACGACGAGCCAATGGGGAGGCGCTGTGCCGCACGACGCAACGCGGCGCAACGCAGCGCGACGCGACTGTGGGAACGAGCCCTTAGCGTTCCAACACGTTCCAACAGTGCAGTGGAGACATGGGCGCTTTGCCTCTACCCACGAATCATTCAGGTCAGGGCTCGGCGATCTGACGTCCCCTTTTGTCTCCGTCCCTCCCTCCATTTCTGCCCGCATAGCCTGAGTAGAGTTCACAAATGCACCTGCGGCGGATAACTTGCAGGTTTCCCTAAATGTTTCCGTATCTTCGTATGGCGTCACGCCGCGCTTGGCAACCTAAACCTATATCTGAATACTGATCTTTCCTATAGGCAGTTATTCAATTTCGTATTGTTTCAATGTGCACGATACACTTCGATGTCGCGACATAAACGGGGTAGTCTCCTTTAGAATGGCGCTTGATGTTTCCATTGTAGTGTAGCAGTTTGGCATGTGCCGTATGACGCGTTATCCCGGAGTTTCTAATACCAACACCTCACTAGTGGTTACCCGAATGCACGAAGTGCGCGTCTAAATTGGAAAGGGTACGTACTGATATGCATTAGAAGACCGCGACTTGACGACGTGCGTTCATACCTTTTGTTGAATGCACGCATGCAGCGTGTTGAAATGCAAACTCCAACACGCTTTAGAAAGTTCAATAATTCGATTCAATATAGGTTTGCCACAACACAAATAAAGTCTTCCTTCGAACCTCAGAAAGTAAAGGCAGAAGGGTCTTTCTGTATTGTGTATTACAAACGTAAAAAAAAAAGGCACAACGTAAGGTGACGATATTTTCTACTAGCAACAACATTTATTCAGTGTTGCGATGCAAAATTAAAATCCGTGTGAGCAACAGCCACTTCATGTAGCGTTTCGTTGGCTTAGCCTACATGCGAGGCGCGCGAAGCACGTGCACGCGTATGGGAAAATCGAATTGAACGCCATTCCTGAATTATCAAGGCCAATGTTAGACCCTGTTAGTTCAGGGACGTGGCACTGATGGGCCGGTATCCTCCAAAACGGCTCACACCGGCTGTTTCCAGAGGATTCTCAGTCAGAGGAATGGAGGAGGGGGTGTCAAAATGTATGTGGGTATTCCGGAGGGGTGTGTGCGTACACACTAGTGTATGTCTGGGAGGTGGGGGGGGGGGGGGGGGGGAGGGTATAAATGACTGGTTGACACACCGGGCCGCGCCTTCAGTTAGTCGCTCGCCCTCTCGCGACGGAATGGGGATGAGCTCTAACGAGGGTCCTCCTTGCTCAGCAGGCGCGGCAGAACTGGTCATAGCTCGCGCCTTTTGTGATTCGGAGTCTCCAGGCGATTCCTGACAACTAGATAGAAGGACTGTTCCCTCTGCACTACAGACATCGCTGGCTATTGGCCGCGCCATCAAGGTCTCGTGTATACACCTTTTCTCCAAGGGTACATCCATCTTGAATGTCGTCACTTCTGATACGCGGTAAAACATCTTTTTGATTTCTCCTTGCAGCTGGAAGGTGTTTACGAAAAATGCGAGATTGCCACACATTCTTGTTTTGACACCTCGCATATTCCAGGTTGAAACGTTTCTTTTTTTTTCGTCCCGCATACCAGATACGGAACCCACGTGACTGAGAACGACAGGAAAGAGAAAACGTCTATAAGATAAGAAGTGAGGGAACGACAGCCTCGCCACCTTAGCGTGTCGTCATGGGCGAGGAAAAGCAGGTCAGTGTCTGCGGCCCTGCCGTTCTAAAGTGGGTAAACAAAAGCAGCGTCGACTGCAGAGCGTAGCAATGGGTACCCTGACTTGTCTGCGGCTGTCGGGAAAGCACCGGGTCTTTAAAAACGAGGACTTGGCCTTTGAGAAAGGAGAAAGGAAATTCCTCAAAGAGGGCACGCTCTTTTTGTCAACAAACGACTACCAGAGACGCCGCAATATGAAAACAACTCATGACCGAGATGTTTGCCCACTAAAGGGAATGCACAGTACTGAGACTGAGCTTGGTCGGGCACGCGACCGATTGCTCTCGCTTTTTCATCGACTTTCTCTTCAATCACGGAGGGACGTCTTATGGTCGACTTGGCCGCAGTACAGTTCCTTAGGCCTCCGATGAGCGGCGCACGTGTCACTCTCGATCTGGAGCCGTACATGTTGAGAGTTTGGTCAATAATTGATAAGAATGGAAAAAAAAAAAAAAGTACGTCATTGACAGAAACTGTGCCAATGACCTTGGGCGCGATGATTGATAGCTCTTGTGACCAGAGAAGGAGGAGCCGGCGGAAGCGGGGGTGGATGGGCGAAAGCAGCGGCGCCACCAGCGCCGCATATTCCCCACGTGATGAACTTGCGAAGTAAGAATGCACTGGAATCAGGGATGGGCAGTATCGCGATACAAATGTATCGCGATAGTATCTTAGAGATACTTTCGGGTATCTGTATCTCTGTATCGAGATACATTTGTAAAATGTATTTGTATCTCAGTAGTGAAAAACATTTACAATGTATCGCTTGTATCGCGATGCTTTGCCCGACTTAGGCATCTCGTTAAATTTGCTGCACTTTTTAAGATAAATTTAAAGGATAAAAACATCTGTTTGGTGCAACTTGCTTCGGAATTTATATTGTGAACCTGCCCTATAACATGCTCCATCTCAGTCAGCAACAATAAAAAAAAAAAATTGTGGTTTAAAGAAGGTTATTTGCAACAAAATCAGCTCCTCTCAAAAATCCCTCCACTCATTCCAATTTAGCAGAGAGAACGAAGCTGTAAAGGACTTGAGTGGAGAAAAAGTACTTCCCTGTTGTCCAATCTCCCTACACTATGGGTGACTCGGAAGGTTATATGACAGTTTGAGATGCGCCCTCACGGCAAAAGAGGGTTCATATCGGGCAGACGCCTTTTGTCAAGCATGGTACGCAGTCTTTACCGTTCTGTAACTATGTGGTTCAACGGGGGCGACGTTTTTTTTTAGCGGAATTAATGACAGATAAAGAGTTCCAGGTAATGGTTAGTGCATAAAATGGCATAAAAAGAGAAGCACAAGCATAAATTACCTTTCGCATTCGCCACAAACCGCACCCTCTCCACGTAGCACCGTTCGGGAACAAATGTATTTCTATGAGTATCTGTATCTGTGTTCTGGAATGCTTTTTTGCCGTTATTGCGGAAGTATCTCAGGGATATCCCGTTGTATAAGAGACAAATGCGCCTCAGTATCTGTATTTTGGCCTTAAAACACATGAATCTCAGTATTTGTATTCCCGAATACTTTTTGGAGTATCTCTGTCCAGCCCTGACTGGGATGACCTTGAAGAATTCGCGTAACGCGGCGCAGGTATTTTTTTTTTGTTTGTTTCCGGATGAGGTTGAAAGTACAGGAATAGAGTATATAATTGTAAGAGATTGGTGGAAAAGGAGAGTTTCAGGGTGCTGATTGGGTTTACTGAGCCAGGAAAGTTGGCATTGACGAAAAAAAAAATTTCTAAAACATGAGACGACACTGAGAATGTCGGGGTGCGCGTTCGAGGTTTGAGTCAAAACACCCGCGGCGCCGAATTCCGCAGTTTTTACTGCCCATTCCATCGTGGCCGCGGCCTCTAGTGCAGTCAAAAAAAAGTGTGAGTGCGTTCTCGCCGTGACGACTATGTCACCTGCATTGCCCTTTCGGTTACGAAAAGTCGCAAATTTCAACTCTACCGTGCTAAAACAAAATACTCGAATACATCCTTACCTAGAAATTGAGATTGGAGGGTATTTGTTAGGCTAATTGCCTCCGCTAGGGGAATATTTGACGCACTCAGCCCTTTTGAAACTCCGCTTTTCCACCAATCTCTTTAATTAAGCATTAATGTACTTTCAGCCTCATCGAAAAAAAATAAAGAATCTGTGCCGCGCTACGCGAATCCTTCGAGGTCATTCCAGTACATTCTTACTTCGGATGTTCATCACAAGGAGAATATGCGGCGCTGGAGGCGCCGCAGCTTTCTCCGCTCCATTCCGGCTTGCGCCGTCTGTCCCATTGACCGGCTCTGGCTCGATCTAACACTTCTGCGACCACATTTCAACCATTCACGACTGTTCGCTCGCGCCCGTCATTGGTCATGGCAAGTCAGTGACGGGAACAGCGTCCCGGGCTCTGTATCTTCAACAGCGCACAGTAAACGCAGTAAAACGACTGCATGCCATTTTTTTTTTTATTTTGGACAGGCTGTACAGTTTTACAAACAAAACAAAAACTAGAAGTACGCCATCGAGCAGTGTGTTGGCCAGCTGGCTTTTACGAAGAAAATGAATAACCGAGCGAACGAATAGAAGGATTCACGACGAAATGGCGCCTTTAAACGAGACATTTCAAATGCAGTAGCCTTCGGCAACCGTTCAACATCGTGGTTAGAATACGTATCTCCGCTCAGTTCATGTGCTATCTGGGTGTCATGAGCGTATACTTTGGTGTAGCATCGGTGAGCTCGCGAACAGCTTGAGTGTTTTTATTTCCGATCTTGGAAACTACTCTAGCCTACCGAAAAATATTGAACATCTCGAGTACAATGCAGATTAGCACTCCCGAACGTTTTATTTGTATCCTAACGAAAGCCAGATAGCACCATGTGAAAAAAAAAAAAGTTATATCCGTTCACATAGCAGAACTTAAATTTTAAAAATGTCCTAAGTAAGGACATATATATACTTATACCATCTTATAAAAGATGTCATTTGTCCTATTGGGAAAGTTGAGATATTTTTGAAGTGCCAAACTGGTCAGCATAAATGAATAGGCCATATGCGAAATTTCTGTCAGATATCATCATCATGCCATTGGGAGCCGCCATATTAGAAGGTTTATGCTATCTTCCCTCTGTGGACGAGGTGCATCTTCATTAAATCAGGTTTTCATGATATTAGGGAGACGCATTTGTCCATTCATTGGGTTGTTATTTAGTTTCGGTGCAACCAAGAAGAGAAAAACGGCCGTGAGATTGGGGAAAAGGAATTGTCAGCAACGCTGTCGCCAGACTCGCCACTGGAGAAATCAACTTGGCCTTCCAGGGAAATCAACAGTCTTTATCGAAGACGCCGTGTGAAGGATCCGTACTGGACTTGCAGTAGGAGATAATATTTTAAATCTACGACTGTCGCTTTGCCACGACTAATGTCTGGCGGGCAAAACGATCGGTACGGGAACCCCCAATTATGGCGGAAACTCGATAATTGAATATAAGTAGGCAAGATGGCGGCTCTTTTTGCATATTATCTATAAGACTATAAGCTAACTTTTAGATATGAATTTGTGCACCAACACTGAAATTAAAAAATTGTAAAGCCTGCTGAGAAACAGCCCCTGGTGTCGTTTCCATCAAGGTAGTCTTCGTGTGCCTAATTGTTTTAAATTTAAAATAGAGCGCGTAAAATAAAAAGATTGCGGCTTTGACACGTCCTTCCGCAGAACGAGATCCCGTAAGTGACTACGTCACAACATGGCGTCTGGGTCCAAACAAATCGTTGCTAGGGGGAAACATTAGACACACGAGGGCCACCTTGACTGAAACGACACGATGGAATGTTTTTCAATACACTCTACAACGTTCCATCGGATCGTTCGCGCACTAATTAGTTCTAAAAAAAGTAGCTAAAAATATTCTGCCTTGGTCAATAAATCTGTGAACAGTAGTGCGGTAGATTGAAGCGCGCAGTGTGCACCCGCGTTTTTCAAGTCATGGCACAAGTTAGTTGAAACGCCCTGTATGTACTTGTATGTTTATTGGACACATTCGCGTCATTTTTACACTAAGATAATCGCCGTATTAGACGCTTAGATATGTTTACTTAATCTTGAATTGGCCAATAGCTGCCGGCAAAAAGCTTCACATATGTCCGGAAAAGTTAATATTACTGCGTCGAAAATCTGTAAAGCTTCATTTCCTCGAAACAAACGCGACTGCTTCCAATTCTCGTATGTCTCGCAAAAAAAAAAAAAAACAAAAAAAACAACAACAACAAAAAAAAAAAAACAAAAAAACAAAAAAAAAACAACTTGATTTGATTATTAGGCAGATTGGAATCATGTTTACGGGGTTTTTTAAACTATAAAGTGCGACCGCTTTGCTATCTCGTTTCATCTTTGGCAGGGACAACTCTTTCCTGGGTTGAATCCGATATTCTGCGAGATAACTTTAAGCCACACAGAAAGAGCGCTATTTTGCACAACGCGCAAAATGCTTCCAGTGGGAAAAAAAAAAAAAAAAACACTCACGCACACTGAAGGAGTTGTTCTTGCGCATGTGGCATAACATTCATCGCCACATGTCAAAACGCAACTGTTTTTTCCAGAATGAAGTAGACGTCGACCATGACTGGAAGGTTCGATGATTTTTAAAACCACTAATACCTATCGTTACGTAGGGCAAAACACTAGAAGGTATTTTGCTAGCTGCAATGATTGGTGGTTTTAGACCGCTTTAAACTGTTCGTCATCAAAAAATTACCCGTGCACAATGTCGCAAACAAAATTGCAGAAAAAAAGTGATGTTTTGGGAGGATATTGTTTCCGGTGGGAGAAAATGGCACAAGAATTTTCTTCGGCTCTTTTCTTCCAAATAAACGACACCCGCTGAATTTCCGTGTTTAGGTATTTCAGTGCCTGTTTTTGTGCTGCTTTAAGGTTTTTACCAAGCTCTGATGCTCAGGGGTGAACTGTCAAAGCCGCAAGTTGCATTCCGTTGCGAATTCTCGCCGATAAACGCAATACACTGATCAGCCAAAACATTACGACCACCCTTAGACAGCGTGAATGAGCGCACCCAACTGATGCGCCGTCCGCGTTACCTACCAGTGGATTAACGGCTGCCGGTGATGCAGAGGGATTATTTTGTTGACGATGTGTGTATATATGGGGAGAGGCTGTAGATGTAGGCGACTTTGACAAGGGGCAGATCGTGATGACCCGACGGCTCGGGACAAGTATCTTGGAAACTGTCACGCTCGTCGGGTGTCGGCGAGCTGCCGTAGTTAGTACATATCAAAAATGGAAGAACGACGATGAAACTGTTAGTAGGCGTTGAGGGGTTGCACGTCCACACCGCATTACAGAATGTGCACGTCGGAGGTTTTCCCTATTTTTGAAGCAAACTAAGCGGCTACCTGCGGCTCGACTGACAGATAGCTATAGGTCAAAGTACAAGTATTCCTGAGTACACAGTTTATCGGACTTTGCTGGATAAGCGATTTTCCAGCAGACGATTCGTGCAACTGTTTTGCGTGCCAAAGGTGGACCAGCATGATATTAGGCGTGGTCATAATGTTTTGGTTGAGCGGTGTATAGGCAGTATAACGTCTTGTCTTTGTTTTTAATATATAAAAAGGCTTCCATGCCTTCACTCTCAGAATTTCCTGCATGAGTACTGCCACGCGTAGTCGAAACACGAATCATCGATCTTTTTCTAATAATTTCAGCCAACGAGATGGACGAGCGGTATCGACCGCTCGTTTATCTCGTCCATCGAAAGATCGATGATTGCTGTTCCAGCGTACCGCATTGCAGCATACATCGATGAACTTCTGAGAGTGTGCAAAAGCAATAAACGAGCAATAACTTTGATGCTAACGTTCAGTTTCCAAACTTTCTGGAAGGGCTGATTGTTTAGAAAGATAGGGAATTGTCGTTCAGTTTCGAAGGAAATGAAACAGTCGGATCTCAGAGGAATTGAGATGAACACAAGCATTTTTGGGCAATGGAAGTTGGCACCTAGGCCTAACTCCGACTCCGAGTAGTTCGACAACCGCCATCTAGACGGCAATGGTTGCTGGAATAGCGTCCGTGGGCGGCCTGGCAGGCGGGCCGTGGCTACCCGTGAGCCATCGTTGTGTCCGCCCAGCTGATGTAGCTGTCGACTGTGGTGTCGATCACATGCATTTCCTTCTCTGTCACCTGGAAATGGGGGCCACGTTTCGGCCGCTGTTAGTCGACCTCGCCACTGAAATACGAGCATGCGAGAGCACTCTAAGCGCGGTGAGGTTGCGGTTCGACCGACAGATGAGATTCGAAGAAAGGAGGCGTGGGATGTTCTTCGGCTGCACTACTCCGGTTGCTTGAAGAGCAGCGAACTCCTCACTCTGGAATACTTCAGCAAGGTTCCGGGCCCCCAGCGTTTATGAAACTTCAGTAAAAGAACGACGTCCACCCCCTCGTGCTCGGGATCGCACGGTCCGCGGGGCATGATGCTAATCGCCCTTTTCTTTAGTTGAATTGGTTAAAGATGGACAAAATACTGGTTCTCTAAGTAAATTGGGGTGTTCTCTGAGTAAATTAAGGCGTCTCACGATACCACACTCCAAACGATGATTGTGCACGTGATCGTGAAGTCAATCACGGTGATCTGAGAAAGAAATGTAACATACGACAGAAGACAAAAAAAAAAAAAAAAGTCTGCGGTGTAACATTGATTTAACGTGGCACATAGGTACATCATGATTGGTGTCACGCCGCAGACTATTTTTCCGGTGGGACGTCGTTTTCTTCCGCCTCGTCATTCGACAAGATTTCTGCGCAGATCGTTGTGATTGGCTGCCCGAATGCTTGGAGGAGAAATAGATGCACAATTTTTTTTGTAGTGCTCTGAGCACTTTAAAAAGATTCCTTCGCGTTTGCTTATTCGTAGAGCACGTAGTGAGCCAATCGCTACGATCTATACGATGCGACTCCAGCCAATTGGCAAAGTTCAACAGGTAGTGCCTCGTAAACGCCAGTGTACACATATACATTGAGCATGACGTTTCAGCTTTTCATTGTCCCCGCGCAGAAAAGATTTTTGAGTAAGGCCATTTTTTAGCCTAGTCATACGTTGGACGCCGTCTGTAGATTGTCGTGATTGGCCCACTGCGCACTCTGCGGGAAAGTAGACGCGCAGGCATTTCTTCAATGTACCCAAGGCACGAAAGTTTGCGTTGAGGACGCTCCGTATCGGTGATCTAAATGCGCGCCGCTCCACTGCACTCTGAACGGATATAAATGAACGACAAGAATCGGCAAAAGAGTGATTATCAGAGTTCAGGTTTTCGCAACCTCCACACTGTCTCGTACAATCGAGGCATCGTGGCAATTCGCGGGATAATTTACTTACTCACGAACCTCAGAGTTATTGCGCTTCGCAACGAAGTAAGATTCTGGGATGGCTGCTATAGAAGCGACAGGTGACGAGGAGCGACGGCTGCCTTAAAGGTGCGGGGTTCTTTTTAAAGGGCAACGAACGACATTCCCTTTCGCGTGGTTGTCATCTGAACGGGGAATGGCGGCCACAAGGGGACGTGTCCTGATCTCTTGACGGAAGACAGTTCGTCTAACCTCTTTATTGCTTTCCATCGGCGCAAAAGAGGGAAGCTGGAGACTGATCGCGTGTTTCATATAGACGCTGGACGCGCAGAATGTTTGGTTTCTAACCTTCTACAAGCAGGAAGATTACGCTAGAGCCCCGAAACAGCTAGATCAGAAGCCTCACACCTCTAAGAAGATTTAGGGAAGCGAACGAGGTGACTGACGCCAAGTCTGTTCGGCCAGAGTGGTCGGCCGGGAGTGGGCTCACCTTCTCCTCTCGCTCGGGCTCCTCTCCGATCACCTGGATGAGCTCGGTGGTGTACTGGGTGATGACGTCCCAGGCGTACGTGATGTCGTCGTCGGTGGCGTTGGGCGCGCACACGCAGAAGCGGATCACGTACTGGTCGTTGAGCGAGGCCGGCACCATGTGCAGCTTGCCCGACGCGTTGATGCTCGACAGCAGTTTCATGTTCAGCTGGTTGGAGCCCTGCGCGTCGTGGAACCGGAATTATACGTTCCATTCACTTTTCTTTTTGTATATTTTAAATTATACATCTGCTTTATATATTTCTATATTGATTTCACCGAACGCCTGTCGAATTGTTCCTGCCGAAACTACGCATTGAACACACACAAAAAAGAAGATTGATGTCATATTGGTTTTCGCCAATGGGCTAATGATGGAAATTAATAACGCGCGCGATAATTTGTTTGTTAAGCACTTTTGAGTTTTATTAGTAAGCCTAAGGTTACTTAGAAAATTACTGGGTGTCGTCGAAAATCGCTAGATCAACTCATTTAAAAGAAATATATCGCACAAGACGCATTTCATGGTTTTCTAAAAAAACATATTTAATTTGGGCGCCTTTTTTTCGTCTGACTCTTTCATATGGGCTACATATTGGCATTTTCATAAATATTTATACATATTTTCATAAATAACTTATATGTATTTTTAGAAATATGTTGTATAAATTTTATAGATAATTTATTTGTACTTCTAGAAATAATTATATATATATACATATATATATATATATATATATATATATATATATATATATATAGAGAGAGAGAGAGAGAGAGAGAGAAAGAAAGATTTTCTGAAATTCTGTTATTATATTTTTTTATAATCTTTATTTATTATTATTATTATTTTTTTTTTTACTGCGCATTTATTACAGGGGTGCTGCTCTTAAAAATCCGCATAAAGACCTTCGATGAAAAGAAAGAGATATGTCAGGCCTAAAAAAACGTCTTTCAAAAGTTCATCAAGCAACATTGATGGTCGACATATCTTGGAAACGAAGCGCGATGAATAGACCCGAGATAGCTGACGCAACCTTCGTGTCCAATCCATGCTCACACTCAAAAAAAAAAAAAAAAAAAAATGTGTGTGTCTACTTTTACGCGCAACAATCGGAGAGCCAATCACCGCCACTTACGAAGGCAGCTAGGCGAATAACGATGCGGAAACATATGTTTAGACCAAAAAACGCAGTCTGACTTGTGACATTAACCAATGCACAACGTCACGCTTGCATTGCTTCGGCATCGTGATTCGCTGAGCTGCCTCCGTAAGTTGCGGTGATTGGCTCTTCGAGTATTGTGCGGGAAAGTAGACGCACAGACTTTTTTTTACAGTGCAGAGTGCGTGATCAAGCAATGGCGGTTTCTTAGGCGAGTTTGGAAATAAACGGGCGACAGGGGGACGACGTTAAACTAAAAATCACGGGGGGCTGTGAAGTCCTAGCGCTGCAATATTTTAATTTATATGTATACTTCCGAAAGGATAAGGATAATCATCGCAGATACCTTGAGCCTGAAGCAGACCAGGCCAAAGGTGACCTCGTTGATCACCTCGAAGCGCGTGTCACTGAGAACCAGCTTCTCAAACTTCTTGGCCAGGCGAACGTGCTGTGCAGAGAAAGCGAGATAGAGATCAGTCTTTCTAAACTTATCCGTTTATTATACGACTCTTAGCGAGAGGGACGCACCTCGCGGATGTAGTGCTGGAGTCCCTGAACGCCGTAGCGCCGAACCACGAACCAGAGCTTGAGCGACCTGAACCTTCGGCTCAGGGGAATGCCCCAGTGCTTGAAGCGAAGGAGAAGGAAAACGTAAATAATGGAAGCAACCAGACTATTTCCACGCGATGACCTCAGTTATTAGTGCCGACATGTTTTGGTGGAACCCTCTGATGGTTTCCGCTCCCAACTTCACGACCAGCATTTGCCTCACCGCGATTAGCAGGATTTGTCTCTGCCTCGCCATGATTGACAGGATTTGCCGCTCTGTGAACCGGCGATTGGGTAGGCATTATCGGTGTTTAGGAAGCTACGGTTTGGCCAATCGCGAACTTCGACCACAGCGACGCTTTTGGTGGCGCACGTCGCTCATAGTTGGACGCGGAAGCCACGTCCTGATTCGTGCGTAAGAGCTGACAATACGAAAGCAATAGGTTGAGGGGTATGGTTTGGCCGCTGCTGCTGGGAGGGCTGCTACAGAGAACCTTCCAAATCACTGTTTGAAAATATTTTAATATTATCTACTTGGGTATCCGAGAGATGAACTGGTGAACCACGAATACCGAAGGAAGCCCTAATTTAGTAGCAAATATTTTTTTTTTTTCTGGAACGCTTAGAACGTTTCCTATGAGACTGATTACCCCTAAGCTATGTCGCACAGCGAAAAAAATTATTAACGGGTTGAATATGGACGACATAAATATAACTATATATTGAGGAAAGAAAAAAAAAACAGCATTAGAGTTGTGAGTGAAGAATCCTTTGAAAGCTGAATACGTAGCCGACGTTTTGTTAAAATACAGAGGCCAGATTCCCGAAAATTTCTTACGACAAAAAAGTTCGTAAATTTATCTTACGACAAAGTTACGAACCTTTGAGTATTCCCGAAGCAAAATGTTCGTAAGTTTTGCGTAAGGTACGACGAAATCCGTAACTTACGCAAAACTTAAGCAAAACTTGCAAATATTTTGCTTCGGGAATACTCAAAAGTTCGTAACTTTGTCGTAAGATAAATTTACGAACTTTTTTGTCGTAAGGAAGTTTCGGCAATCTGGCCTCAGCTTCTTTAGAGTAAAGTAGCCAAGCCGAGTCTCTGATCGAAACGTCGGTGGCCACTCTAAGGATTGTAAAAGGGGTTTCGTCAAGCCCTTTCTGCCAGTTTCGACTAGGTCAATTATTTGTTTGAACCACATATGGGAGAAAATTGGACGTGAGCTCGGTCGCCTTACCCTGTAGTCAATCGCCTTGTCTGCAAGGAAATAGAAGTGTGAATGGGTAAGACGCTCCATGCCACTCGAGGCGTGCGAGCGTCGGACACTTACCGGAATAACTGTGTTGTAAGTACAGAGGGTCCACAACCAGAGCTTGAGTGAGCTTGAACCGATCTTTCACCCTGAAACGAGCCAAACTTGGTCAGTGATCTCAATCTTTCTTGGGCGGTGGCTTAAAAAAAATGCGTCTGTTTTACTTACCACATTAAAGAACAATCGAAGTTGACGAGCATCCATTTGTTAGGGTTTAGGTTGAAAGACATTGCATACTGTAAAAGAAAAAAAAAAAAAAAGAAAAAAAGGATTGACGAGTATTCTGGTTAGTCTTAAACCCTGCGTTGAAGTTATTTTATTTACTACGGGGATGTGTTGAGCCAGTTGGTTATGATACATTACGTGTGGAACCAGCTGAACAATGTTGTTCATTGTTCAGCTGGTTCCACTCGTAATATTATTTCATTTGTTTGCATCGCTACATAAATCCGTAATAATGTTCTCTCCTGTCTAAACTTAAGAGTCTCGCAAAACGAATTACACAGAAACAAACCAATACATCGCGATATTATTCTGAAAGTAAGTTTTGAAAGGTGGACGTGCATTATCTAATATTTATTAGGTCCCTTAGCACAGCAGATATCAAATAAAAAAATAATCAAAAGCGAACAATTTGGGAGTATATTTAAGTTACTGTAACTAGTTATAATAGCTTAAACTAAAAGCGTATTAACTGGATTAACTGTAAGTTAGTTTAATTTTTGGTGTGAGACAAAATTTAGATTAATTTCTTCCTTTTGAAAATTAAGTTTACATAATGCACGAATTCGATTAAATTTTACCACCAGCGTCGGGTGTTGCCTTTCTCTGAAACCCTGCTTTGCAAAGTAAAGAACCCAATCAAGACAACACTGCCCCTTTTCTGTGTTGGGAACTGCACACGTTGTTCAACGATAGCAGCGAACCCCATCATCATGGATCATTCTAAAATTGCTCGGAACGCAGCTCCATTATATCCAGTATCATTCATTCATTCATTCATTCATTCATTCATTCATTCATTCATTCATTTGTTTATTTTTTTTTTGTACTCATAAACAGCTTTCGCCTTTGTAATGATGCGCTATTAACATACAACAAAAGGAAGAATAATTCTACAGATTGACAAGGGAAAACTTGAACGCTACAAAAGACGGGTTAAAATTTATAGATTTGTAAGAGAAAACCTGAACGTTGCAAACGATTGGTTAAAGACGTCAACGCTGGAAGCATCGAAAGTATTAACAAGGTCTGAATGCGTGTCATGGGGCAGCTTTGGAAGAATGATTAATATAAAATGGAAGAGAAATTCGCAAACATCTTCTCGGACCATGAATATTTATCGCTGAAGTTAGGTCAAGGCAATCAATGACTCCGTGAAGGCATTTGAACAAAAACATTAGATCTCTGTCGAGCCGTCTGGCACTCAAAGTAGAGCAATTGTATCGTTCTATTGTTCTTCATGTCCGTAGGCAAACAAATGTCGACACAAAACTCTGGACAACTGCTGCCATCTATGAGCGATCAGAGTGTAAAGGCTGGAAAGTTTACCGCCATCTATGAGCGACGGCGGAAACCGGAAAACCGACAAGCCGGTTGTCTGGTTGCCGCCGTCGCTTTAACCTAACATAACAAACCAGACAACCGACAAGCCGGTTGTCTGGTTGGAGAGGCTAGGTTAGGTTAGGTTGACGAAAGTAATCCCTGGAGAAGGGGAACAAGAGGGACAAAGGACAAACATTAATCTCCAATCTCCAGCTGATAAAACCCGTTTGCTCTACTGACGTCTAAGCCCTGGTTAGCTCAGTTGGTAGAGCGCTCCACTTGTAATGGTGAGGTCCCGGGTTCGATACCCGGACCAGGCGGATTTTTTCGGTCGCTCACCAGTCACCTAGCTGTGTTTGGAGATTTATGTTTGTCCTTTGCCCCTCTTGTTCCCCTTCTCCAGGGATTACTTTCGTCATTCTTGTCCAGCTCGCTTGCACCTTTGCATTTACTTGCATTATAATTAGGTTAGGTTAGATGGCGGCAGCTCATAGATGGCGGCAACCTTTCCAGCCATTCCACTGGTTTTCACCAGAGTGGAAAGGTTTAATTTCTCTAAGCGTCGTCCTAGACGTCGTCCTTGAGGTTGTCCTCGAGGTCGTCCTAGAAGTTATTGTTGAGGTCGTCCTAGACGTCGTCCTCAAGGTCGTTCTTGAGGCCGTCCTAGAAGTTGTCCTCGAGGTCGTCCTAGACGTCGTCCTTGAGGTTGTCCTAGACGTCGTCCTCAAGGTCGTTCTTGAGGCCGTCCTAGAAGTTGTCCTTGAGGTCGTCCTAGACGTTGTCAAGTTCGCTCTAAAAGTCGTCCTTGAGGTCGTCCTAGACGCCCTTGAGATCGTCCTAGACGTCATCCCTGAGGTCGTTTTGGGCGTCGTCCTTTAGGCGTAATTCACGAGGTTGTTCTAGAAGTTGTCTTTGAGGTCGCTCTAGACGCCGTCCTTGTAGTCGTCCTAGACGTCGTCCTTTAGGCGTCATCCTTGAGGTCGTCCAAGGAGACGTCCTTGAGGTCGTCCTAGACGCCGTCCTCTAGGCATCGTCCTAGACGTCGTAAAGATAACATCTTCGCTGGTCCTCCATCTTCACGTGAAATAGAAGGGTTCTACATTTTTTTGACTGTACTGCAACGAGAAACACTTGTAAGAACTTAACCCCTGAAGTAACTGTAACGTGAGTACTTCTGCAGCCTTTAAATTGAGGCTTCTTTCCATTCACAATTCATTGAGCGATTGCCGCACATATGGCCTAGCAAGATCGAGGTTTTTTTTTCAAGGTGCAACAATCCGTTTTTTAGTTTGGTGTTCTCTGACTCTAAGATAATGATAGCTGCCCCCTGAAGTCTAAAGATCTACGAATTTTGTTTGGATACACGTTTCTCTTTTGTATAATACCAGCATTCAAAGTCTCACACCCATCCCTTTCATCGTGTAAAGAAAAGGAATGTAAGCGGTCCATTACTTTCTCTGCGCGAAGGCGGCTCGACTTCTGTCGCGCATTAATGTGGGAGGCGCATGAAGATAATATAAAGATTTATAAACTTCGTGAAGTTAATCTAACAAAAGGAATGAAGCTAAAATTGTTTTAGCGCATTCTTAGGGCGAACCACGCGTTTGCATGGTGCATCGAATTGACGGGAAGCAGACATGCGGTCATACCTCTAGTCCCTTGTGGAGATGCTGGAACTCCGGGCAGATGAAGGCGCTGCCGGCGTAGGCGGCGTCCACGTGCAGCCACGTGCCCTCCTTTTGGCACAGGGGCCCGATCTCGGCGAGGGCGTCGAACGAGCAGCACGACGTCGTGCCCAGCGTGGCGCTCACCTGCGGCGGGAATGGTCTTGGTCTCTCTGCAGTTACGGTTTGCCCCGAACGAAGGGCGGCAGGAGAGGCGCCACCCGCAAAGAATATCACTCCGCGCTGCACTTTGCATCTTGCAAGTCTAGATGCGTGAACATAATAGAAGCCCTGCGCTTTTGAGGCTCTCGGTGACGTGACAATTCAACACGCCGACGGTCGAGAGAAGACGGCCTTTACGAGCGACGAACGAGGGAAGGCTCAAGGAACAGATGGGAGAGATTCACGCGCCCCGACGCTGAGTTTACTCACAAAAAAGGGGATGAATCCGGCCTTGCGGTCTTCCTCGATGGCGGCGGCGAGCACCGAGCCCCTCATCTGGAATTTCTCATCTGTGTCGAGGATGCGTAGTTTCACGAAGCCTATCATGGCTGCCTTCTCCACGCACGAGTGGGCCTGGGAAAGACAGAACACAGACAGTCGTCTCAAAATAGATTTTGTTTTGTTCTTAAAAATAATCCCGATACCTTTAGTGTTCTTATCCCTCGAACTGCGTTGGAGATAGCCCTTTTATATGAGGGTGTTTTAATGCAAACGCATTAACAGTCTCATGAAGCGAAGCCGGTGACGTCGGCGAAAACGGTAATTAAATTCCCATTGGCTTGGTGTTGTCTGTAGCGGCGAAACGGCGCCTAAATTCCCATTGGCTGCGAAAAAGTCCTCAGGGAGGTTCCTCTAAACAAATTAAATTAATGGCTTTGAAATGAAAATTTGGTACATTTCAGTCTGGGTGAGAATCGAACCCGGGCCTGCAGTATGCGTGACGAGCACGCTTCCCCGACGCCACCGTGGCTCCACGGTTCCGGCTGACTAAAGCTGTGCCTAGTGCGTGCGCCATGCTTTCGCATTCCCACACGTAAGCAGTCTTAAGTGTCTGTGCCGAATTTTTTTTCCTTTTTTTTTTTTTAGCGTTTGATTGCACTCTCAGAAGCTCCTGCATCTATACTTCCACGCTACACTAAAGAAAAGTCTGGAGCATTTGCTTTTCCGCAAAACACATGGAAGAGCTAATTGCTGTTGGGGAATACTCGGCGAATGACGTGGCTAAAAGTATGGCTAAAAAAAAAAAAAAGAAACTTTCTGCGCTGTACCATGGCGCCACTGTACACCCCCAATGATGGTTCAAAGATGGAAATACTGCACCTCTTTGGAGCAGTAAGCCATGAGCTTGGAAAGCAAGACCCCTTCGTCCACGAACGGCTGTTCCTGCTTCAGCTTCTTGATGGTGGTGTACCGAGCAGCCAGCAGGGTGACGAGAACGCACTCACTGGCGCTCGACTAAGGAAACAAAAAGAGTGGACACGGTTTAAGGGCTTCGCATACCGTCCATGACAATTAACAATAACATCGTATTGCTGAGGCCCGCAAAGACACGTTCACGTTTGTAGGCGGGACTCAACAGCAAGTAGACCTATACTGCGACAATTTTCTACGGCAACCTTTCGGCATACTTCGGGGACAAATGCAACGTACACACGCAGAAACTACACAACGGTCATAATACATACAGTGTCCCTCAAACTTAACGCCGCCACTCGGTTACGCAAATATTAATATATTGCATGCTACCCAAAGATAAATTGGTCGCTGCAGCTGCTGGAGTACCTACCCCTGGTTGGGTTTTCATCGGAGACGAAAATCTTCACCAACTAGTTCGACCGTAGGTTCAGGAATAGCTAAAAAAGTGAAGACATCGGACCATCTCGTGGCGGCGTTAAATTTGGGGCGCACCGTACAATTCATGGAGCATAGAATTATCCCACCAACCTCTCGACTCTTTTTTTAGCAATACTGGCTGACTGCAAATAAATAAAGCTGATATATGTTATAACTTATAATAATGTGAGACATAAAAAGACGCACCCATTCATCGTAGTCACGAGCTCCCGAGTTTGCGCACCGGACAAGCCTAAAGCTGAATGATCAAGTTACATCGAAGTTCCCCACCCAGTTTCCGCCACCTTGGTTTCTTGCATTAGGCGTCGCGCACTCTCGAGAGCCCCTTGCCGTACTGCCCAGCGATTCGCTTGGAATACCAATCATTCCTCTTTCTTCGGTCAGTTGAACCATAGCCTCCTCTATACTAACAAAGCCTGGCAGTTCGACGACGGAGCCATAGAGTGCCCGGTCTCAGATTTGGAGCGCGAGGATCTGGTAGCAGAGAGCATTTCTTGGTGAAGATGGTATTCAGCGCACAGCTTTTGCAGCGGCGAGGATCCGAAACATGGTTTTCAAGCCCATAGAGTTATTACAATAAATGCGTTTATTGTAATAACTTGATGTTTAAACCCGACGAGAAAAGAAGCGGTAGCCCGAGGAACGTGAGGAGCACGAGCGGACATTCTATCGCACGGGAGAGGTGTGCTTCGGCGTCTCGCCGCAGCGGGGCGCCCGTTACATGCCTCTCCTCTCATCCGTTGTCTGCCGCTCTACCTTTTCACTTTCGATGGCCGCGTCTCGTGGCGATCTGCCAGGCTTTGTCAGTATAGAGGAGGCTATGGTTGGACCAATGAGGACGTAGAATGGGATGGTTACACAATGGCTATGCTGTCTAACTGACACAAGGGTAGACCCCTTCGTGCCACTGAGACTGCATCAACATCGGGGCGCGATGCCGCTCGCCGTTCTAATTGGATCAACTCATTAAAGGAAGGCAGACGATTAGTGCTTCCAGAGCCTCACGAGGCAGTAGCATTACACGTGCTTTTTTGTATTATTTCGAGCCTCAGACAATACAGAAGTGACTTGGAGCTGAGGCAAAGGGCGACAACAAAGGTCGCCTGACAAGGCTTCTGTGTGTATAGTATAATACCTGGTATATACGACACTTCCAACATGGTATGACCAGCAGGTGCCTGAAATTCGTGCCACAGTTCGGCGTGCACATCAGCGGTTAGATCACGAGTAGACATGACTAGAGGGAGAAAGTTATAGCGAGATTAAGAGTCTGTAGCCCAGAAGAAGATGCAACACTGTCATCAGTTCTAGCGCCCTTTGAGTCATAGCTTGATTGAGTCGTCATCATCATCACTGTCAGTGAACTGAAGGGCACGCTGTCAGCGCTTACCTGTATAACGCCCCCGCCCTTGCTGTTTCCAGAGAGGCAGAGGAAGTCTTCGGGCAGGTTTATCATCTTCCCTGGGACATACATGTAGTGCTAGTCACCTTTGCGAATCGAGCACTCGAAGAAATATGTAATGCTATTATTTATCAAGTTAATTGAATCGACATTGTTTTCCCAATTTTTGAACATCATCATTGAAGCTACATGAGGGCAGTTTCCAAAGATTTATAGTACTCTAGCCAAACACAGTCATAACTAATTACTGAATAGCTTGCAAGACGATCGGTATTACTAATTATTTGTTGCTTATCCAGTGAAAAATTATCCTCACAATTTTGAGGCCTAATTTCAGAATGATATGAATTGGAGATGAACGTGTCATTATTTTTATGGTGAACAACGATTATCTTTTTGTCTAAGTCACTAATGGGATTGTCAATTGCTCACAGCGACCGCGGTAAACGGGATGACTCTATAAGGAACCTATTTTTTATACTGTTCGAGCTAGTTACACAGGATAGGTAAGTCATGATTACAGTTCTTTTAAATATATTATTTCATTGTATGGTACCCTTAGCCTGTAGTTTGCAACAAAAAGAAAATTTAGTTATTTTCCACAATTTGTTTCAAGGGTTAATCCAAAATAAAGGAAGGGTAGTACAATTTATTATAAAAATATATTCAAAAACTGTCACAGTTGCGTGCTGTTCTGTAGCAGAACTTACCGATCCAATCCAGCATGATGACCTCTAACTCGGTGCAGGCTGGGCTGGCTGCCTGTCAGCGAAACAATGAAAAAGACGCGTTTTGTATGTACAGGCAATTCTCTAATTTCCTTCGGTCTCAAACGGATAATTGTTGTAGTAAGGTGTCTAAACTTCCACGATAGAGCCGTAATCAAAGAGGTTGTAACGAAATGTCAGATTCGAACAGAACAAACAACCTAGTTCGAAATATGTACAATTATAATCGCGTATTCTTAATAAAGGCTTTTAAATAACACCTAGAATTCATATTGTTACGCATTATTCGAAACGTATCCGTGTATCGTTTGTCACAACGATTAATTGGACGTTATCTTAGACTCTTAAGATACCCACTAACGCTCGGCTTCTACGGGGTTTGATAGTCGATGGCAGCTCTCCCGTAAATCCCATTCGTTTCCATTCCCCTATTCTAAAACTAACTGTTTCGTGCAAAATCCTAATAGTAGGTCGGTGACTCGTTTATGAAGAGAAATACGCGGGAGTATTCATGCGACATGTCAGATGCGCGTCGAATCTTTTTATCGCCCAGGCAAAAAAGTGCCGAGTCACCGAGCTGTAGACGCATGCGCGGCGCCTGCTATTTCTCAAAAGAAAGCGACTGCGCATGCTCGAAACGCATTCCAGTATAGACAAAGATGGCAGCGAGCAGAAGGAGATTATTGGAATTTCAGGATTTAGTCTACAGATTAGCAGAGCATCGGCTGCAGCGTCAGGTTTCATTAGCTGTTTTTCTAAAGGCGTGAGAGCTTAATAAACGTTTATTATCTTCACGGGCTTCGTGATTCGGCGTTCTTATTGGTCAATTTGCAGCGGAGCGATCATTGGGACTGGCCGCGAGCCTTCTTTCAACTTCAAAAACACCGGTCTTCTTTGAATCGGTTACGTCAAAGGCGGTCGGCGTCATGCTCCAGCGACCACCCCATATAGTGGGAGGGTGAATGCCATCTTCGCCACGGGGACTCCATGACCATGCATGATCTCGAGCCGCCGCCGAGATCGACCGCTCAGTGCGAGTCATGCTCTCGAGCCGGTGGATGCGCGGGCGACGGGCATTCGGAACTCGAATGTGCGCCATACCAGTCATGACAGTTTCATCGCAAGAAATACCCATGTAGTTTACAGGTATACATGCAACCAATTTTCCTTCTCATTGCCTGATTTGATTAAAGGTTGGACAATCATCAGTCTTCCGAGTCTATCGCGGGGCAGAGAGCACGAAAGAGATTTTGGTCGTGCGTACGATATTTTCAGCCAGAGTGCCAACTCAGACAGCAACCAAGGTTCCGCGAACGACCTCAGAATGTCGCAACACCGTTACTGGCAACGCGTTATTTAGTAACACCTAACGCACTCGTTAATTTGTTTTAAAATAGCTAACGAGTGAAGTGTCTACGTTACTAACTTACGCTATCGTCTATGAAATTACGTTATTCGTGAATCGTTTCCTTTGATTAATATGGGTTTTGTTTTCGCTGAAAGGGATGCTGAACCGAAATCTGGATTCCACAAAACACGGCGGTATAAGCGTGCAACGGGATGCTACAAACACCAAAACATCACCCATACAGCAATATCTCAAACGGATAATCGTATTTTTCAAAAAAAAAAAAAAAAAAAAGGTGTAGCGTTTGACAGATATGTTGATGTCTTGTTTTTCTAAGCAGAGTCCAGAAGGAGGGGGAACGGCCTCGCGTCTTCTCCGCCTTGAGGAGGCGAAGCGAAGAGAGGAGGAAACGAGATACGTTGACGTGACGCGCCTCGTCAGCCTCGTTGAACCTCGACCTCTTTTTCCAAAAATACGGCCGTCCATTCCAGATATCGCCTTACGAGTAGTGTTGTAGGGATTGTAGCGTCCCGCCTACAGGTCCCGCATGGTTATCTGAAATCCAAATTTCGGTTCCCCATCCCTTTAAAAACGAATTAGATCTAATTCTGTAAACTGCGCCGAAGAGGGGAAATAATAGTTTCTTCTCCGCGACATCACTTATCCAATCAGAATGAAAACAAAACTATTCGACGATCTTGATAAAAAAAAATATAATAAACACAATGACAACACACTCTAAACGTGTAACTGCTGTAGAAGTTCGTATCCGCATCTTATGGCTGCTGAAAAATATTGAAACCTAAGGTAACGAAAAATTAACTTTCGTGAGTTATTGGAAGCAACGGTAACGGTCTCTCGTTACGTTTAGGGAAAGCAAGGCATCTCGGTAACGCGTTAGCTTTTGACGAACGGTAACGTTTCGGTAACGGGCACTCACCCAGGAGAAGCCGACGCAGCCGATGCCGTCGGACAACATGTCTGCCAGGATGGACGGGTACGAGTTGCCCGCCGGGAAGTACGCGTGGAAGTGGGGGTGCTGCCAGTGAGTCACCTGCAGTCGAGAGACGTCCTTCTCGAAACAAAAGCTTTTCTTTCTCTTCTATAAGACGCAGGCTGTACGCATACTTAATCGAATAAATGAGGCTGAAAAATTCCAAGAGTGAGAGTTGTTAGAAACTTGCCAAAAATATTTGCCCAGAAACCGGTACTTTATACTTTACTACTCCATGATTAATTATATTTTCAAAAATTCTCGCAAACCTGGTTATTTTTGATATCAATATTACGATAGAGTCTCAAAAATCTCTGCGCTACAAACCTCACGGCAGCTTGAGCTACGAACTCCGAAACAACATGAAAGTCTAAGTAACGAGGGACATGGATTTTCATACTTCATTCGATTATCTGCAATTATTTAGTGAGAGGTGGTAGTTAGTATAATACTACGCAGCACAGGCAATCGCAAAGAGTCACGAAAGTTGATCGTTAACCCCTCAAATTGCAGCAAGACCACTTTGCTGGTTCTTCCAGCTCCCTCGTAGAATGACCGCGCGGAGGAGATAACTTATACGGATAGAAAGTCAAGGAGAGGAGGAGGCGAGAGGGGACGTCAGAATACCCAGCGCTGGTTGGAATAATTAGTGGGTAGACGCAAAACTAGCTGCATTTGTCTCTACTCACTCTTTGAATGCGTTCCGACAACAAACGCGTTCGGACAGTGAGTAGAGGCAAAGACAGCTAAATTTGCGTCCTAGTCCTTCCAACCAGAGCTCGTTGTTCCCACGTCCCTTCCTCTACCTCAGTTTCTCCCTGTATAAGTCACTGTGTACATGTGTCCAAGGGGGACCTCGCTTTGCACGAGCTTGACTAATCTGTACGGAGGCTGCCCTGTATCAAAGCCGGCCTCCTTTCCAACACCCAGGCTAGGAATGCCGATTCACTGGACGCATGCGTGGTGCATGCTCTTCCGCAGAAGAGGTCCATACTTGGCACGCTCAGGAGGCCTTCTATAGCCCAGTCTACAAAGATGGCAGCGAGAAGAAGGAAATAATTGTTCCAAGAAGCGAAAAAGTTCAAGCCGAACTGGTTGGGAAACATAATCTAAACCCTGGGACGCTGACAAGACGACACGTCTTGCCCTTTATTTTATTAAAGGACAAAGCGACACTTGTTATCCTTAATAAATGACGTGTCATCTTGTCCTTCATTTAATATGAACGAGACGACACGCGTTTCTATTATTTGTCTCGGGGTTTATATTAGGAATGAATGGAGCGGTCCCCACGCACGCCTGGCATGATGTAGCGTTCCACGTCGGCCATGATGCGGTCCCAGTCCTCGGGCTGGTCGGGCGCCTTGGCCGGCAGCTGGTCCTTGAGGTAGCCCGGCTCGCACTGCGGCGTCACTCTCCGCTCCGAGATGGTCTCCAGGTAGCGGGCGATGTAGTCCACCATCTCGCAGCCCTTGACCCGGAACTCGGCTGCGTCCATGCCCTGGGAAGGCCTGCTCGCGTCCTGCACCTGTTGTATCTGCTGCTGCTGCTGGGGCTGGACCGCCAGCTGCTGCTGCTGCTGCTGCTGCTGATGCTTGTTCCGGGCTGCGCAGGTACACCATGGTCGTAGAGCAGATGCAAAAGACCTCGTTTTGCCTCCCACTAATGTATATACACTCTACAGGGTGTTTCACGAAAGGTGGACAAATTCGATATTGCCGAAAATACGCGTCCCAAAAAAAAATGGCTTGTGTCGTTTTGGCCTTGGGCCAGGGACCTATTTAGGAAAATTATTAAATTCTGGGATAATTGAGTTGTTAATTACTTTTGCGTAATTAAATTTTTAATATTGCGTTTTAGGGCATGTTTCCAATTAGAAAATTGCTCAGCATCATCGAAAAACAATAAATCAACAAATTGCTGAACGATAGAAGGTACGGGAAGCATATTACGGCTTTCTGAAAACCCTACAAATTCAACGGGTTTTAGGGTTTCGGTTTGCTATCGGACCGCATCTCGGCCCCGACGGCACCGCGACCCGTGGAGAAACTGTGCAACCAACCTCTGCTGCGTTGCGCGAGGATAGCGCAGGAGAAGTTGGTTGCTCTATCGTTTTCTTTAAAGTGATTTTTAACGCTTACCCACAATGCCAATACGTTGTTGTGAGTCCGTCAGTGCATTTTCCGCTAAATCTAGCGAGAAAAGTGGCGTCACGTGACCTATACACCCTGGGTAAATTGACGGCACGTGACCTATACATCATCTCAAATTCCCCGCTATATTTAGCCAAAAGATTTACGTCTTGTGGCCAAAAAATCGATACAGTTCCCCGCTAAATTTAGCAGGAAATTAACGTCACGTGACCTTTACACCAATTCAGTTGCTCGCTAAATTTAGTGGGGAAAATCGATGCCAGGTTCCCTGAGGTCACATGACCTATACAACTATTCACCTTCCCCGCTAAATTTAGCGGGAAGATATACGTCACGTGATACACCAATTCCCTCACCAATTTCCGATAATGCATTTCATGCCTTACAAAAGTTTAAAGGTAAAAGTCGTGATTGGTCTTATAAAAAACAATCACGAAGGGTGTTCATTATAGGCCACGCCCTGTCTTTTGACAAGATATATCTCACTGTATATTGAGCCATGTTGAGGTACAACACGAGGTTTCAGTCATTCCTTTTATCGGTGGTAAAACCACTCATCTTCTTTTTTTTCGACCGGCAAACTTCAATGAGCACGCTCGTGTTTTGCACTATGGGTGACAAAGTTTCGACTCCTCCGCCTAAATTTTAAAAGTTGTAATTTTTTTTTTTTTGTTTGAGCGGGGGGGGGGGGGGGGGGGGGGGTGTTTAAGGCGGGATTTCTTCGTGCATCCAACGGGACGACGGGCTGTCTAAACGGTCTTGAGGATTTACGGGTAAAACACCGGCACGCACGAGTGGCAAGCACACAATGAAGGCCGTGCGTGTTTTGATTGTGTTCGGCGTTTATCCCCCGTGTTTACGCGCGTTCTGAACCTCCCGAGACTACTTGTCCCTCCATCGGTCGCTGAACTCCCCGCGGCAAGACTGATACCGCACCGCTTCGCGTGAGGCCGAGCCAAACAGTAGTCGTTCCACACGAGACAGCGGGAAGGATACACGCACAACACGAAAAGAGACGGAATAGGGTTTTTTACGCGGCTATCGTTAAGTCAGAGGTCGAAACGCTTATTGGCGGCACCTTCGAGCCGAAGCTACGGAAGGTGGGCCTAAGTGGCAGTGACAGTGAAGCGAAAGGGCTCAGATAGCGGAGCGAAAACCGCACCTTATCCTCGGTGGAGCTGTCAGACGGCATTGTTGCCTCAAGCGCCTCTCGAATGACCGCAACGGGTTGCATCAGATTGCGGCCAACGCGCGAGATATACCGATGCTGAGGGTTCAAATTCGCGCGGGATCAAAGGAGGAATCACGGCCACATCATATATTTTTTTTTACAGCGGAGCTGTTAAAAGCTAGTTTCCCCAGGATCGTGTCCCCCGCAAAGAAATGAAGACACCGAACTCTGGACAGCTACCGCCATCTATGAGTGACGGTGGCAAGCAACGTAACTGGTTGCCGCCGTCGCTCATAGATGGCAGCAGCCTTTCCACTCTGGCTTGCCGACTTGCGGCCGCCCATTAGTTCCCTTTGTACAGCTCCGCTGGTCTTCCTTCTTCACCAGGGTGGAAAGGCTGAATGTGTTTTGTTGTAAATATGTGTATACGCGGCAGCTGTCGTAGCGTCTGCGTTAAGCAATGAGATATTTGCAATCATAAAAAAAAGCAAAAAAAAAAAAAAAAACAGCCTTATAACGATATACAAAAAGACAAAATGACAAGTTCTGAAAATTCTGTATATTTTCTGGATAAATGGGAATAATCAAGGGCGACAGTGTGTCAGTAGATTGACACTACTACTATTTTATGGTGTGCTGTGCGGTTGTTTTGATTTCTTGCCGTATTACGAAAAATACCATATGTTCACTAAACTAAAAATATATATCCAGCAATTTATGTTCCCACAATATCAGGAACAAAAAGGTTTTAAAATGCACGTCAAAGATATAATTTATATTTCAATTTAAATTTCTCTGTTCCACATTGTTTCCTGTTCTTGGCTGCATTAAAAATAAATACGTTTATGTCTCAAGAGACATTGATCTACAAAAGAATCATTAACCTGATTTAAAGATATTAAAATATAGAAGCCATACTTATCAAATGAGCCCAACTCGTTTATTGAAAAAAAAAAAGATTTTTATGTTTTTTAAGCCACCCGATCTTCTAATCCCCAGAAAATAGTAATTCCCTGTTTGTAAACATTCGCAAGTTTTACAGGATACACATTGCACTGTGAAGTCACATGCACGTGTACATAACTATTTTACACTTAAAATGTTAATATGAGCTATTTTCCTAATTATAAAAAAAAAAAAAAAACTTGCGTGTTTTACTAGAGATATAGTTGGCACAGTGGTAAATATAATGCGTGATTAGTTCACTTTAGCGCCTTCTCCCTGTGATCTCCGAGGCCCTGAATGACCTAGGTGGTGTTAACAAAACAGACGTTACGACTTTCTTTTTTCTTTTTTTATTTGGGTTACAATTAGTGACCTTATGGCTGTTTTGGTTCGACAGTTCGCCAGGGTGATTAACGTTGACGCGATTATTTTCACTGTCTATGATTTTGTTGCCTGCTGCAGTCGCATTTTCAACGAATAATTTTTTTCTCTCGAAGTATTATACCTCGAGTTTTTTATAATTTGATTAAGCAAACTTGTGTTTTTTTAATTCGTCCACACCACAAACAAATTGTCCAACACTAATCGTTGAAGTTATGAAGCTGAAAACTACAGCTGACATTCGATTAGTCTGTTTATGCATAAGAGGGCACGCGCGTTTACGATAAGAGTATGTTTTGTTTTGCTTTCTTGTCGTCTGCAATGGACATATCTAGCAGATGGTATAAGAAAAGGAAGCACAAAACAAAATTCTTTTTGAAGTACACTTTGTTATGTCTATCGTGGAAAGTTTTCGACGACGAAGTCTTAGGGAAGCAAGACAATGCACACGTGATGTCTTTGAGGTGATCACAGTCTCTCGCCATTTCTGCGTCTCTGTGTCATGTATTTATGTACTTGACACGGTGGACACGTTCTTCGTAATGATCGGCGTTTCTTTTCTTTTTTATTTACAGATACATGCTAGGATTTGACGGCCTAGGAACGCGGCCAAATGAAGTGTTTTTACGGAACGCCGTAAAATGTTTCCCCCGCGTTAAATCTTTCTAAAAGGAGTTGATTAATGGTTTTTGATGACGCTCAGCAAGTTTCTAATTGGAACCACATGTCTATTTTACTATTTAAAAAGTTAATTAAGAACTTTTACTTAATTAACCGACTGATCGTTACGATTAGCTCCCTATACTATGTCCCCCTGGCCATATAACTCACCAGCAAAAATTGCAAAAATGTAGCTTTCATTGTTTTTTAAAAGAAATCTGTAAATATTTAAAAATAAAAAAAGACCATATATTCCTGTAACGCCGAATTAGAGCGCAGCTCTTGAGGAGGAGGAGGGGAAGGTACGGAGAGGATGCTATGCCCCTCGTCCTCTCCTGCTTGCCTCCCATTTAGGGGAACATTTTCCGCTAAATTTAGCGGGGAACTTTCTTTGCTCAGATTTCGCGGGGAAAATTTTCCGCTAATTTTAGTGGGGAAATTTTTTCAGCTAATTTTATCGGGGAATTTTTTCAGCTAAATTTAGCGGGGAAAAGTTCCGCTTAATTTTGCGGGGAAATTTACCCATAATGCATCGCGCGGTTACGCCGACGCTGACGCCGCTCAAACCGGAATCGGGCGCCTAAGAGCTGCGCTCTAAAAAAATAAACATAACGAAAGTACTTTATAAAAGTTTGATCTTTGTCGAAGCTGCCAAAAATTGAAAAATCCAAAGCGTTCGCTCCGTGGATGGCAGGGAGCAAGGATATGTGCGATTGCTGCTCCGCTCAGTTCTTCGGAAGAAAACCATTTTTACACTGTGCGTCATGTACACGCCGGTTCCACTGCAAGTGCGTCAGGTAGGACGCGACATCTTCATGCAGTCTGCAAACAGGAACTGCAAACGCAAGGAGTGTTCAAGGCACGCCTCCCGCGACGAGGCTTATCGGTGCTGAATCTGATGGCGGGGCTACGTACACTTTACTGGGAACATTGACATCGGCGGAGGGGACAACGGTCAATCGGCACATGCGGGAGTTTCCTCCGAATGTCTTTCGTGGCGCTCTCGTCTCGGTTTGATATTTTTATAGCCGAGGTAAATCTTCCAGGTGCGGACAACAGTGCACTCCTCAGGGAACTTTCCCAACTTCGCCAAACGGTTGTGAACGAGACCATCGCGACTGCTCCCAAAGTCGCGTCATCCGTCGCCCCGGAATCAATGGCGCCGCCCTACGTTTCTGTTGCTCTAGGTGGCCGCCCCAAGTCTTCGCCTCATGGACAAGGTCGTAGCGTCCCCATAAATGCAACTGACAGTGGGATTATGTCATCGATCGCACATCTAGGTAACGGTGCGTCTG